GTCTAAGTTATGTAAAAAATAAAATATTTCTATAGACTTCAGCACATATTCAAATGGAACAATTTATATGGAACTTTAATAAAGTATTTTCCTAGAATCCCTTTTCCATGTTTCTCCAAAATATAGCTGGAAACATTTTTAGATTATTACAGAATTTTATTTGCTATTGAACTCAGTAAGATTGAAATTATGTGTTCGTTTTTAGGATAACGGATTGGCTCGTGCGAATAATACACAGAAATATTTGTTTGATGAAGGAATAGCAAAAATATATAGACATAAGTAGATCCTATGTATTATCCGAGGGAGGAACTAATTGTTTTTCCTGGGTCGATTGCAATATTCTATTTAAAATAAAAAAAATATTAACACAAATTGCTTTGCCTGGGGTCTATTTTTAAACACTGACTGGAAAAGTAATATTCAAAATAAAGTCTCAATGGGTTTTCTAAATTATTAAAAAATATAAACCGTACGAAAAAAAAAATGCCTTTAATAAATAATAAAGTGGATATCAGCCAGGAGAAAAAGAGTAGCAGAATAGTAAAGGAAGTATCTTTAAAGATGAAGAAATCATTAAATATACTTAATCTAATTTGGACGGTATCATTATTAATAATGCCCGATTTTTAAGAATTTTTTTCGTTTTGTAGGTAAATTAGAAATCTTTCTAATAATCATTGCTACATAAAAAAAAAACTTTTTTAGTTATCCGCAAATAAAGTTTATTTTCCTTCATAATTTTTTTTACAGAAATTTCGGAGTGATATGACAATTTTTTGCGCGAAGGAGAAGAATATCTTCAAAATGAGTGGTCAATCATGGAATTTGATGAATAATTTACGTACAGACAAAAAAAAAAAAATTAGAAATAATATATACGATGATATTTTCTACAAAACAGTAAAAAAAAATGAGATATGTGCTTTAGACCACACGATAGAAGTAAAAACAGCAACAAGGCGAAATTAATAATATAGAAAAAGCTCATTACAAAGACGACAAAATGATAAACATTTCCCTCTCTTACTGTATACACGGTCAATTTTTAGTGTCTGAAATATTTTAATCTGTATATTCAACTAACCTCGTTATCGATGTAGAGATGGTTGACCGTTGATATGATATGAGAAGGAATTAGTCGAGGGTGCGGTCAAAGAAATAAAAAAAAATTAAAATATATAAATAATTTTAATTTTTGCCGACGTTTCGACCCACTTTGCAGGTCGTCTTCAGGGCTACAAAAGATACAAACATGTTGGAAATATAAAAATAAAATAAAAAATAAATATAAGTATATATAAATTACGAAGAAGTTGTCAGATACAGAAATAAAAGATAAAGCAAATAAATACATGATAAGAAAATAGATAAAAGAAAATAAATACATGAATGTTAACGAATAAATTGATTGAAAATTGAATAACTATTGTTACAGTAAAGTTAAAATATGGATAAGATAACATAATAATAAGATATCAGTGGATAACAAGCAAGTGGAGGTTACCTTTAATTGTAAATAAACAGATAACGGGACCAAAGGTTAAGAAGTGAAGAAATTGAAAGATTAATAGGGTAACATTAGTGTAATATTGTTGGGATAGATTATTAAGTATAAATAACTCTATAAGAAAACAATAATTTTAAAAGAATACTTTAAATTGTAAGAATAAATGTAAAAACAAGGTTATGATGATAAAGAAACAAAAAAACAGGTTGTACTATATATAAATGACAATTGACATTTAGTTTTTTGAAAGCGGTAATGGAATGGTAGGCTGTATGAAGATAATAATAAGGTGTATAGTTGAAGGATAGGTGTGTTAAGAAAGGAATCTCAATAAAAGTCAAAACATACCGTTGGATGTGGCACTGCGGGAGGCGGTTGAAACACTGGCAGTGTCAAAAACTGCTGATAACCTCGTTATCATTTGGTTTTCGACACTATTTTTTCCTTTTCGCCTCCCTAACACGGCGTCGCTTTAAGATACAATTTTTAATTATAGCTTATTACAGAGAAGATGAAACGTTCAACAATTTCCTTGATTGCAGTATGCAGGCCCGATTTTTAGTTTTTGAGATATTTTAAACCATATGTAAAAATCTTTTTAATTAGTTGACTATAACCGATTTTAACCGAACGTTAATGCCGAATGGAATATGACGGCTCAATCTGATCCACTCACCACAAATAAGTGTAAAACGGGTCTAAAGAAGTTTTCGCTTAAAAAAAAACATATTTTATGGTAAAGTGGGACCAGTTGTAGCAGAGAGGAGACATCTTGAACGAGGAAAACACGATCTCAAATTCGTTTTCCTTTGTTTCGTTTTCTGATAGCTTGAACCATTAATTCACCATTATAGTTTCCTAAGTCTCTTTTAGAATTATTCTAATGATCCATCTTGCTTAATGTTAATAAATATATTAAAAAATATATGAAATACCAATGACCCTTCCAGGTAGAGGCATTACCACAATAAATAAATAAATAAAAACTAAACCCAATCTTAGCGAACAACCTTTTCCCTAGCAATAAATGTGTAATAATTTGAAACGCTAAAGAATTCTAACCAATTTTGTCATTTTAGAAAAAATGAAACCATCAAACTCGTTTTTATCTACTTTTCAATAATTCAATAAAGAGAAAATTAGAATTAAATTTGCCTTTTTTCTTCTATTTATGAAAAAATCATAATTAACAATCACTTCCTTCAGCAAATTCTTCGTCATTCGTGCTACCTCCTTTTGTAATTCCTTGCATATCTCCATACTTCAAACCACGTCCACAAATTCTTTCAAACTCCTATTCCACCACCTCCTATACATTCAATCTCCGGCAACCTTGTAAGAATTTTTAGGTTATTTAACTACAGTTGCTCATTGGCAGTTAATTGATAAGAGCTACTTTATTTATTTATTACTTTATTTATTTATTATTATATATATATATATATATATATATTTCTATTCTCCTTATTGTTTTTTTTATAAATATTTGTATTTTCCTTAGTACTTTTGTATAAATCGATATCATATCTAAATGCCAGGTTGATGTACACATTTTTTGAACTCTACTATTATTCTATGTGGACTGTAGTCCTAGAATAAAATTATTTTTCATTTAATTTAAACTAAACCTAAATATACACTATAATGCCTCCACCCAGCCTCTTCGTTTAACATTAAAATTCATTATTATTTATATTAATATTTATAAAATACTTGGCTTTTCTATGGCACCACACATATTACTATTACTATTTTTACTTCCGGAAATTCGTTCCTAGCCAGAAAAAAAAATATTTTTTTTTTCTTAGTTTCAAAAATTTTAATAGCTTATATTTATACAATTTTATTTGTAATAAAAATTTCAGTCACTTATTATTTTGAGCATAATTTATTCATCTTATTTTTTAACCACACCTATCAGAAGTACTGACAATTAACGAGTCTGCTGTGGGGAAAATATTAATAGTGGCTTAATCGGCGTGAGGGAAAGGAGTGCCCAGTGGCATCCCTCCTTGTCTTGAATTCTGTATATTTTTAGGTGAGGAAATCTCTAATCCACCTTCTTTTGGGCCTACTAAGGATGTTTTCGGGCTTATTAATCGTGACCATGTTTTGTGTCAGTGTGTTAGTATGTCCATATAAGTTATTGTGAAAATTTTTGTAGTGTGTCCTTATGTGCTCTTTAACTTTTGGCATGTTGAGATCTTTATGTAAATTAATGTTTGGAGCTTTAGTAATAGCCTTAAAAGTTTTTGACTGGAAGGTTTGTAGTTTTCGTATGTTGATCGTTTTGGCTGTTCCGTATATTTGTCCATATAGGGTTTAGTAGATGAATGTAGGTGTTCAGTTTCTGTTTTAATTTTAATTTTGAGAGTCTTGAAGAAATGAGTATAATAATCGTAGTATGAGGTTTAACGTTTTTTTTTTTTTTTGTTGATATGTGAACCCCTTGTCATTCTTCTGTCGAATGTTCTTGTATTTTATCTGTTTGCGAATTTTAGCATCGAACATACTTTAAGATAGGTTTTAGCTACTTTTAACCATTTTAAGTCTATTGTTTGAAAATCGTCTATTATACTGAAACATTCTTATGTTAATTATTTTTTACCTAATCATTATTTAAAAAAAAAATAGTTACCATAAGATTCAGACTATACATTATTGTTTTGCCTTCCAAAACGTAATGAAACGAGATAAGTTATTTTTAAAATATTTTTCAGATTAAATCTTATTAAATTTTCAAAACCGCAATGTAATGTTTTGTAATAATAGAAACTTGAAAAGAGTTATGATGGAGAAGCATATTTAGTGAAACATTGAGTAAGTTTGGCGTTATGAATATAATGACAGCTGTTAATTTAAACACTTTGTTTACCCGAGGCCTCCTTCGAATGCCACATAAACAACTCATTTGTCGAACTAGCAGTTACACGACAAAATGGTAATGGAATGGTCTATTCAAAGATGGTTCGCCCTGAAAGGCTTTTTAGAAAGGACTAAAGCGTGACGACATCCTGAATTATACATATTACTTCTGACTCAACTGTGTCGTGGCAAAACCCAATTATCACTCCATTGCGAATATGAACTGAGGTTTCAAAATTGAATCTTTGTCAATTGGTGGAGTAATTATGAACACGAAAATACCGTTTATGAACTAAAACAACAAATTAAGAATCTTTTTTCAATTTCTAAGCATAAAATTAACGTTAAAATATTAATTATCAGAGAATAAATTTAATATAGCCACAAATAAAAATTTTAGTGCAATTCCTATTCGGAAGGCTGAATGGTGTCAAGGATATTATAAAAAAATTCATTATATAACAAAACGCTCTTAAATAAATATAACAAAAAGTAAAGACACTAAACCAGTGAGTTAACCGGAATATATTTAATGAGTTTATATACATACAATATATGTTTCCAAGTATTTAAAATATATTTTATATATCTTAGTTATTAAAAAAAAAGAAGTAAATTAACTCACATTAAAATGTTCTGGAGGCTTCATTTTATTTTTTCAAATTCACCTGAAAGATAAAAAATAATCAAAACCTCTTATAATAATTTATCGGAACTCAAATATAATCGATTACACATTTTTGTTCATGATAATAAAAAAAATTTAAGGTTATAATTATTAATAATAGAAAAAAATTGATATTCAAACATAGATTATATCAGACGTATTTAAAAATAAAAATATAAGAATCAAAATAATTAAAAAGCCCAGATCAGAACATCCAGATTTACCAACAAATTTATAGTAAAAATCAATCTTTAAACATGAAAAATAACTGAAACATATATTGTACATACTGTGGGGCTACACTTATATCACTATTACTATTGTCCTTAGATGTAACATATTGTAATATTTCTCAGTAAAGAATTGAAATTAATAAATAAATAAATATCTGATACACATTTCGATTTATTTCAATTCCAATCAAACTTAAAATTAAACTTTATTGAAACTTTGGAAAGTTTACAGTTCACTTGTATCCCACAGACTCTTTCCGATGTTTCTGCTTATTTTGGTAGAATTATTTGTGGAATAGCCGAGTATCCACTGTGGGAATGCATGTTTTATACTTTTAAGCTTTTTACTCTCACTTCGTATATATGTAATATATAGTAAGTGTAAATATTGCGATCGAGAAAATTTTTGAATCGGAGTTTTCGACGGATTTATACGTTTTGAGGTACCCTGAGTCGAAATGACCAAGTCCCGAAAAATGGTCTGTGTGTCTGTGTGTTTGTATGTTAGCAGTCTAGCTCAAAAACGAAAAGTCCTATGAAACTGATATCACGTAATTAATATAGGTATATGCCTTAGTTGTGACGGCAACTTTTTCCTTAAAATCGGCTAACCGGAAGTGCCACTTTATATCAACGCTGAAACATTTGTTCACAGTTTTATCAAAAACGGCTCTAACGATTTTGATTAAACTCGGTGTATCATTGTATAATCAAGTGGTCTTTAATATAAATTAGGTCTTATCCCCATTGATGTCACTTTGCAGGGCTTAAATGCCCAATGTTCATATACTTCTTCCTCTAAATTATCTTTAATACGGTTTATTTTAAAAAGATAATTATTTCGCATTATTCAGAGTTACAAAAAATGATAAATATAACTTTTGAAAGAATTTGATAAGTTAATAAAGGAGAAAAAAAATAAAAATGCAGAAAAACGTAGCTATAGACTGTAACGCCTAAACGAATGTACCGATTTCATTGAAACTTCGCTAAAGTCATTTTCTCGACACCCTTCAAATTTATCTATATAACATTCATCAGCGAAAAGAAGCTGAAAAAAAGTTACGAGGGATGGTAAAATTAAATTCCGAATAACTCAAAAAGTATACACTTGTGTACTTTGTTAAATGTTGTATATGGTTTTCTAAAAGTTTATGGAATAGCCTAAGAAACAAAAAAAAATCGTTAAAATCGGACAATTAGGAGATAAGATATGGTCTCTAGTTTTTTTTAATACGTTCTGCTGCAATGGTTATATCCTTTGTTTCGGTTTTTGAATTTTGAATTTGTTAATAAGGTAATGCTAATTTTTTTAAAATGTACTTAAAATCCACCTAAGCAAGTTGATGGCATTGTTAAAAAACTATTTCAGTGTACTTGTGTGAAAGATGAAATAAAATATAAAATCATTTCATGGATGTATAAATCATGTGTTTATAATATTAAATATACTTACTGTAGTTTAGTAATTATTTATTAAATTTTAAATTGGTCCATAATCGTCTTATCTTTTTGGCTACATTCAAGGAATTGCTGTGTTATATATGTGTGCGATGTTATATTGAGTTCCTGGCGTTTGAGAATTTAAAGAGAAAAAAGGAATTTTTTTTTATTCTGGGAAAGTGTTTATTATGCTATGTATATTGTTTAATATGGTTTGTTGTTGATAATTTGTAAGAGTATTGTTATGAAGGGGGAGAAAAAAAAAGAAGAAAAATATAATATAAAATTAATGTCCGTATAGATTGATAAGTATGCTGTGTACGAAGCAACCCTATGTAGTAGGGCAGCATTACTTTTAATAAATTATTTCTCTATAAATAATTAGGTGTTAAAGTTAATTCCAAAATATTGTCATATAAATTAAAAAAAAACTAAATTGGAGAATAATTCGATACATCTTCTCTTTGTAATATTCCACTACCATTTCATTGTACTTGTGTGAAAAAAGAAGTGAAATACAAAAATATTTCATAGATACGTTTATAACCCTAAATATATTTACTGTAGTTTAATAACTCTAGATCTCATAATATATTTAAATATTTAGATATCTATCGTCCGTTTATTCCGAAAAATCATCATGTAACCTTTTAGAAAATTAAATTAGTGAATAGTTTGATAATTTTTCTTTTTGCAATATTCCAGCAGAATCCACTTACAATTAGTGTGACAACTTTTGACCTGTCTGACAGACACTGAAAATCTCTTAATTCCGTTTTAATAAACTTTGCAATGGAAAATAACAGTTTAATGACTTATAGTCGTACAATCCATAATCAATGGATCGAACAATCCATAATAAACGAATCGTACAATCCATTATCAATCGGTGATATAATAAATAGGACTTTTGTTATTTTAATAGCATTTGTGTTTTTTTAGCTTTAGCTCAGTTTAAAATGCAATTTAAAACATTTTACAATAGCCTAACATGGCCAGAAAATAATTTTTATTCAAAGTTCAAAGAGTAAGTGAAAGTTGTGTGTTGCGCGCACCAGATTTTTTTTTGTATTTATTAATTTGTTGTTCCTTTCTTTTATTTATTAAATTTTATTAACGGATTAAGTATTATTATATTTCAAGTATAAGTATTTTTCATTTATTTTTTCTTCTGCAATTCCTGCTAATCAGCTGTTTTATTTAACCTTCCTCTATTGTTTCCTTGACTATGTTTTTGGATTGCTTGGATATTTTTTATAGTAAATATTTTTCGCCGGTATGTCTGAAGAATCTTGACCAGGGTTGAATGGAAGTACTATTTCTTGGTAGATGACGACCAATCGCCAGGTTTATACCAATTATCAATTAATTAAAGTTTTTTTTTAAAGACGGTTCCCCTGCCCCCAGGAGGTTATCCCAATCCCTGTATGGACCCTCATTTAGTGTAACAAAATAAATAGTTAACGGTCGAAATCGATAAATAATTAATATAATGATAATACAAGTTCTCGTTAAGCCTGTTCCAAGAGAAGATAAAAGTAGACAGCGTGTCTTTCAAAGGAGAACTTCCCTGAAGTAGAATTTAAACAACAGTGACAGATTGTGAATTGTTCCTGATAAATTGTTCTCTGAATATTCTGACATAAATAATGGAATCCTGGGATTGGGCAGGGACGGCAGAGGAAGCAGCTAAGAAAAATGATTTCCCGTGAAATACATTTAGAGAAGGGGTATTATTCATTTAGGACAATATCTCACAGCATCAGATTGTTTTCTTTCTTGTTTATAATAGACTCGATATATTAAACTTATTGATTGTAATATAGCGAGAAAGATCTGACCAAAATAAAATGAGTGGATGATTGCAACTGAATTTACTGTATGGTCTCGCAGATTACACTTTTAACCACAGGCGGATATAAGGAAGAGGAGGGAGGGGTTGTTTTCTGGCTTAAGCCCCCTCCCCTCCCCAAATAGTAAAATATGTTTTATTAAAAAAAAAAAAAAAAAAAAAAAATTGTTGTCCCATTGGCTATAGGCTCTCCTTGTAAGGTTCTTTTTCTATGCAATATCTCTTATTAGTAACAATTTTCCAGCTTTGCTGTATTTTACACATTTTCACCTCATTAATACGGCGTCTCGTTAAGAAACAATTTCGAATTATAGCTTATCACAGAGAGGATGAAATGCTAAACAATTCCCTTATTTACAGTATACAGGTACGATTTTTAGTTTTTGAGATATTCTAATCAATATGCAAAAACACTTCGATTAGTCGATTCCTGCCGACTTTACCCAAGCGTTACACATCTGTGATCTGATGGCTCAATCAAATTCACTCTCCACAAAAAAAGTGCAAAACTAGCCTAAAGAAGTTTTTATGAAAAAAAATAATCTCTAAAAGTATTATTGTTCGTCTAATTACATTTAATAGGAGTTAAAGAATTACTTAAACACCATTTAATATAGGTACTTAATTTCTTTCTTTCTTCCGAAGTAATTACCGTAATATATACCTAAAAAAAATAAAATCTTCCGGACTGAGGTCCCCTCCCCCCAAAAAATTAAATCCTGGATCCGTTAGTGCTCTTAACATCTGATATAAATATCAATAGAAATAGTATAGATATATATGATTTTCTGTCTTATAATTTTTAGTGATAACATTCTGAATCCCTTGACTAAAATCAATGAATAAAATCAACTTTTGGAATTCCCTCCCAATCAAAATTCGACATGCCCCTTCCCTGTACACATTCAAAAACCTCCTATTCCAATTCCTGTTCCAAAAACAGTCAGATACCAGCTAACTATTAATATTATATATGTATTGTGTAGCAATCATATAATCATAACACTTGGTAAGAGATAGTACATGCATTTCCTACTATCGACGTAGGAATTTCAATACATACATTTTTTTAATTTTTTTTTTATTCAATTATAAGTAACTGTTTATTTTTATATATATATATTCAAGTAAAGTTTTTTTTTTTTTTTTTTTTTTTTTTTTTTTTTTTTTTTTTTTTTTTATGAAATGAACTCATTGTATCTCTTTTTCGTTCTTCATTTCTCAAAGTGTATGTTTATGTTGTTCAACCCTTAAATATAATTTTGTTCATAGTTCAAGTGATTCGTTCATAGTTTTAATTGTTTTGTTCATAATTTTAAATGCTCTGTACATAGTTTTATCTGTATTGTATATAGCTTGTGCACCTAAGGTTTTCTTTACTTTTTATTTTATTTTATCAATTTTATTTATTGTCTCAACATTCAGGCCAGTGATATTCTATTATTTTGTACATTATTGTTATTCTGAAGGGAC